GAACAGATGATTTTTATTATGTCCTGATACGTAAAACCATAGAACTCAAAGAGGGTGTATTTTCTTTTTCACAGGACTGTAACTCTTGCTTTTTATTTAAAGTAGCTTAAGGCAATCCAGTTTAAAGGAGAACTTGTATATCTCCTGGCTGTTTGAATCTAGGATAAATACAAGGGAACTATTCAATGGAGTTAACTGTGGTTTATGCTCACCATACTCTCAGGGTGTTTCTTTTAAAATTAATTGTACTGTACTGATGGAGACCAAAACAAAGTCAGATCCTGCAGGTATGAATATAAGGTATTTTGAATTTCACTGTGCAGTAGTGATTATCTGGTCAGTCTTTAGCAAGGAGCTCTAAGATCCAATTCAATCCAGCCATGAAGCAGTTGGCTGTCTTAAATCCGCCAGTCTCTCTCATGGTTGGGGAGCTACAGGGGAATTAGGCAATCTCATGTCTGTTACCAAAAACTTTTATTTGTATGTTAAGGCAATAAAATTTTATGTTATTATATTATGTAAATATTGATGATGTAATTTTAAGCACAATTCTTACAAAGTAGAGAGAAATTTACTTTGACTAAATGTACAAGGATTTACACTGTAAATCTAGCAATCTGATGTGAGATTGTGGGAAAAGGGATATGCATGTGTGAAGAGGAAGGCCATCAATCAAGCCGATTAAGATTGTACTGAAATCAATGGAAATTTGTTAACTTTAGCAGTGATTCAAAGAAATTCAGTTCCTGCCTTTCTCTGAGCTGTATCATTGCTTACCTTAACACTTCGTCCAAGAGTAGAACTACTGAAATGAGGTGATATAGGAGGAGCTGTTTTCTTGCGGGGCAAAGTATCACTCATGTACAGGCCTTCTTTATGCTGCTTCTTTCTCTCTTCCAAATTTCGGAAGTGCTTAAAATAAATAAAAGTGTGTAAAATGCTACTGTGATGACATGCTATGAATATTATTAATGTTTCTGAAAAGTCATAATTTAATTTTAAAATTGAATTGAAAATTGTATGAGGCCAAAGACAGGTAAAAGAACATCTCCAGATCCACAGAAATAAAATAGCTCTTTAAACCATTTTTCACTATATGAACGATTTCCACAAGAAACCTAATATTTTAATGTAAACATTATATTACAGGAATAGGTTCTATATTAAAAGGAAAATATATGAGACATTTTAAATTTGTGATTATACTTGTCATAAATCCTTTGTTCTATTTTATAATAGCTGAATATATGCAAAACTAAATCTCTGTAGAACTCCAACTGTCCCACAGCAGGGTTGCACCATCCCATCTGGTCTTTTATTCCACTGTGATAAAAAGGTTTTCAAACAAGAAAAGCATTTTGGAAAAGAGCAGTGGCACATATAATACATTCTGATGCACAATGTTTGAACAAAAAGACAAAGAAGTTACAATGGTTTTTGTGATTTTATTTGCTGTAATTTGTTTCAAATACAAGGTATAATGGAAGTGGTCATTTACTGATAAGAAAGGAAACTTCATAAGGTCAGTGTTCCTTAGGGTTAGTTTACTTTTAATGAAATGTATTATTGCAAAATGTATGCTAAATGGTAATCTCTTACTGGATAAATCTAAATGCTAAACCTGCTTTACAGCTTACCCAACCAGTATGCCAATTAGTAATTGGTGGTTCCTTCCATTAGGTATAACTAATTAATTATTGTGGATTTGTTTAACCTGCCTTCCCATATTGTAAAGAATGAGGGCTCTGAGCTGTTCCTTCTGAACAGAGGAAGAAGAAGAAGCCAAAGAATGTAGTCTTAAATTGATTTCTTTGCCTGGGTAATCAATCCCTAGCCCCTGCTAAAAAAAAGTCACAGGGAGACCAGCAAGGTTTACCATGAAATAAAAATACATTGACAGCAACGTTCACGGAGGCTAGGTTCTACTCAAAGAAGTGCTTATTCTTAATGTTTCACACCATATATATACTATTTACTGTGCTGATATCAGAATTAGACAATATTCATTCAAAATGTTAATGAAGACAGTAACCTTAACAGTTAAGTTCAATTCATTTAACTCCTACTTTTACAGAAAAAGGCATGTATTATTAGTAATTAGCATTGAATATGTCAGTTTGACATAAAACTGTAAGACACTGGTCTAGATAAAGAAATTATGCATGCGTAAGAAGATGCTTAAGTGTGTGATCCTTAACTAGATGCATCTCCAAGTTTTCTCAACTAATCTGGTATGCAAAGCTCTGCATGCAAAACCTTTATAAATGCTAGAATTCCACCAGTCAATTTTAGGGGAAAAGGCATTGGGCCCTAGATTCAGATCTTCAGTTCTCAGAAGAGCTGACCAATGGCTATTTTGCAAGCACTTTATCAAGCTGGGGCAGAAAAATGCATGCAAAGCATATCATTATCAAGCCAGCCTGCCTTCTGGCATGTTACCTGGGACTCCCTCCGGTGTTTCTTAGCTGGTAGAGGAGGTGGTGTATCAGGTAAAGGAAAAGGTTCTACATTGGCAGCCCTGACCTCAGGCCAGTGGGCTGGTGAAAGTTGTGCAAGAGGGCGAAGAGAGAGAGAGTGAGGAATCATAGATCCATAACAGAAAGGTGATCTTAGCTTTATAGAGGGGGAAAAAAAGAGAAAGAAATGGTATTGAGTGTTTTTTTTTTTTAAATACATGCAAATATACAAAGAGGTTTACTATGGGAAAGGCTTTTGTAAGCCAGAGCATACTTTGTCAGATGCATGAAGCATGATTAACAGTTTACAGAGAAAAACAAATAAACAAATGGTATTTTTCTCCCATTGTACTGGAAGACTGGAAGTAGGATATCAATTAGGTTTGTGATATCCTACTAGGGAAAAATGGACCTCGCTTTGCTGTTTTTCCTGGAAATCAAAATGGGCCTGGTGTAAACACAAGGTGTTCAGTGAGTGTATAATAAGTCCCAAGTTACTTCATCAGCACTCTGGAAAAGAATGTAAGAAGGAAGACAGAAGATATACACAAGACATACAGACACGTACAACAACTGTTCCTGAAAGAGACCCACGGGGGGAAATTAACTCAGCTCCTTACTCAACTTTTTAATAAAAAGGTTTACTATAACCTGTCAACATCAAGGGAACAAAATTTGAAAGCACAATGTATACACATGGGAAATGTCTCTCCAACAAACCTCTTTATTTTGTGACTGGCTCATCAGGCCAGCTGTGGAAGGTTCAGTGGGAACAGCATCAGCAGCAGAGGGGGGTTGTGTGGAAGGGGATATATTCATGGAATTGCCATGCGGGTCACTAATGTCATTTACATTCACATAACCCTAAAAGGAGGAATTCAGAGGTTAAACATACAAAAGAAGCAAAAGCTAAAAGGCATGCAAGAGTTTAAATTTCTAATTTTGCTGTGAAAATTAGCTTAGAGTGATACAGCCAACTCTGTGATATTACAAAACAATTTTCTTGACATACTTTTTCAATCATCTACACTGCATTCTCAATGCTTTAATTTACTGCAAACAAAAGGGTTATCAAAAAACTCATTATATATATGAAAAATGTTTTTCAATTTAGATACTACTACAAACATATTAAGTCACAATTGTTGCATGTAACTTTAAAATACTGAAATGAAAATAAACATCTAGATATCAAACATAATTCTGGTTATTTTCTTTCAAATTTATGGATATGGATGGCAAATTATCAGTTTAATTTACCATTTTATTATAACAATGGCCAACCAAGTTCCTGTTTAATTATTGCATTTATATTCCATCTTTGTCATACTTCAAGGTGGCCACTGCAAGCCCTCAAAAAGAAAGGAATGGAGTAGTATTATCCTGCATGGTACTGAATCCACTGTGACTAGTAATCATTTGTACTTCTGTCTACACCCCTCCCCCCTTTTAAAGCCATCCAAATTCATCATCATTACTTTATTTATTTATCCATCAATTCATTCAATTTATATTTTGTGATAGTAAACTCCACTGGTCAACTACTTAGTTTGTAGTAATAGTACTTCCTTTCCTTCTTTTTGGAGTTCAGTTGGATGACTCAAAGTGAGAAAGGGACTCTTCTCTGTTTTCTACAAAATCCGATTCTCTTCATCATGCCCCTTCTCTGCTACTCTCCTTTTAGGAATTGGACATTTTATTTTTTATTTTCATTATTTAATTTAATATAGCAGCTGCTTAAAACACTGCCATGTTTGAGTAGATCTTCTAGAAAATCTTGTTTTATTATGTGGTATTCTGAAAGTCTGACTGTTGGAATTTGCAAGCATGATCCCTATAAGGAATGGGAATTAAGCTGACTGATTTTTTTAAAGCAAGCAAACACTTAAAACCTTTTAAAATATGAAGCTCCCTAGTCAATAAACTTCTATACTATAATTAGATGAATCAAAAATATGAGAGAATATCACTTTTTCAATTCCATCAAAATAAATTCATGAACCACTAATAATTTAGGGATATGATTGCAATCAAATGTTTTGCAGAATACTCTAATAAAGCCTTTATTTTTAACTACAGCGATTAGAACAGCTGCAATTCTCAGTAAAATTAAGGAAGTTGTTAGCAGCAGCAGCAGCAATAGTAGCAGAAAATGTTTAGGCACAAGCAAGAACTGAAAGGATATACTGAAAGAGTCTGATTTCCCCCTTTCCATTCTAATTCTTCACATACTGGTACAACTCTAACATTGAAATAAATATTTGCATAATCTAAAAATGAATGATCACTGAAATATGTATGCAAAAGGAATAAGATGAAAAAAATGGACATGAAATCTAAAGGAACTGAAGATCATTTGAAAGGCCAATGACTTCAGCTCCACATTTACAGTCTTATGCTACATGCCCTGTTAAAATCATCTGATATTTCTGGATTTTGTTTCATCCAAATCCTAGAACCTGCCCAACCACGGTTGATCCAAAAAGCTTACGCAGAACTTCGGGAATGCAATGGTTTGTTTGGGGTTCAAAACAGTATATATTTCCTTTTTGTGCAGATGTCTATGTCAAATTTTATTTTAAAAATCCTCCTTAGAATAACTAACTACCTTTAAAATATTAGCAATGAAAATTAATCAGCTCTTTTATAGACATAGGAAAGTGAAAGTCACTTCTCATTGTACTTTATAAAATGGTTGCAATAATATGAAAAATGTACGAGTTACTATATTGTTTCTCATCCCTTTCTCCCAAAGCTCACACTACCTCTTTTAGACTGCTGGGACTCAGAGGGAATCCTTTGCCTCCTGACAGTGAAGAATACTTCTTTTCTAGACTGCAAAGATTTTCCTTCTCCTGTAGAGAACAAGTTATATTTGAGATACATGTTATACAAATATGTAACTTGTATTTCCCTTCCTTCAAAAATAACTGTATTTGCAAAAGTTTCAATGATGCTTCACCTGAGAATTGTTCACAAATACATTGTTTTATTTTTGTTTCCATCTTCAAAGTGTAGATCATATAGGTATCCTTCCAAATTTGTTTCCTGGATTAGTTTTACACCAAAATTTCCCTCAGCAAACACTAGATGATACCCACAAACACACTTGTTCCTGATAAAGCTGCTGGGGAAAATTTATCAAATCCATTGCATGTTAACGTAAAGATGTCATATAGATTCCATTATTATGGAAAACACGGGTATGCATGAAGGATTCACTATAAACATCATTCACTTCTTTATTGGACTTTATATATTACAGACTTCTTTATGTCACATGGTCCTGATCTGGATCAGACCAACATGTGCTTATATAAAAATTTTAAAAAGAGGAAGTTGACCAACACAATATAATTCTGATTTACAATTTAATTAAGGTCTTGGAAGAACAAGAAAGAAGTGCTTACCCTCTGCAACATCATCAGTAAATTGTTTTTCTCTTTGACAAAATGATCGTGTTCTCTTTGTGCTTGTTGTACAATGTGATTGGCTTGTTTTTTGAGAGCAGAAACCTTTTCCTATCATAAAGATAATGTTAACATGTATTTAATATGAGCTTCAGAATATTGTTCATACAGTTCCTGTCCATTTGAAAGTCAAATTTAAGCAGAAGACTTAAGAAAGCTACACGCCAGCAACACTTCACTTCACTTTTTTTTTCTGTAATTCTTTTTTTTGGGGATTGGACTTCACTTGCTTGTATATTCCAGCAGCACTACCAGCTAGCACTACCAGCACTATTTCTACTACTACTCCAAAAGGAAGATGAAGGAGAATAATAATTATGGAAGAATATGACTACATGGAACATCTATGCAAACATAAATACACTTCTGGGAAAGATACCATCTGCCTTAAAAATAAAAAACTTTCATGCTAAGAAACTGAGAAATGGAAATATAGTACTTTATATCATTTTTTCCATCTTAACCAATTACTAAATCTTAGTGGCCAGATCCAGTAATCAACAATTAACTGAATTGTTAGCAAACTGCTAATTATTGGCTAGATTACCAACTGCAGCCAGTTGAACCTGAACTGGAAAGAAACTATCCAAAGGAATGATCTAATCAACTTAAAAAAAAATTACCTTTCTGCTGACAATGCTACGCTGATATTCAGCAACTTCACGCAGAAGCTGCTGGGTTAAGTTCTCTTTTTCTTCATCTAATCTGCTCTCATTTTCAAGCTGCTGAAATTCCAAATCTTCAAAATGTTTGCTTTCTACCTCCAACAAGTCTGCATCCTTCAATAAGAAAAATCAATGTATTAATTTTAAACGCTTTATATTGCTTGTGAAAACAGACATAAGCATAATCCAAAAAAAAGTTAAATCCCAGAGAGTTCAATTGGTGTTCCACCGTTTCACAGAAATGTAGCCTAAGAATCACATCTACTCATGCAAGTTTTTTTAAAAATACCTGTTGACTTGAAATTAAAATTATCATGTACATCCTCAAATTAATCAATGACAACAGATTCACTTTTTACTTTAGCCTAGTCATCTCTTTATCATGTTTTAGCATCATGAACAGAGGTGTTTAGAGTGCTGAATATGCAGTTCAGTATAGCGAATCTCATAATTAAAGGGGGTGCCAATACGAAAAATTGTTGCAGTTTAGAATGGGCATGATCGCAACCCGATATGCATTTTTAAGATATAGCTAACACAGTATTGCAGCAGGGTTATTCAGAGATGTAATTTTTTGTCTATCTTTTAAACAAGGTATGTAAATCTAACTAGCTGTGTGACTTGCCTCAGATTTTTTTTACCAAATTTCATTTTCAATTTTTTCTTTTTGAGAAAAAGGTACTATTTTATTCTCAGAATAAGACTAATCTGAAAATGTTTGATGCATTTTCTCTATCCCCAAACAAATCTTCCAATATTTCCTGTGTTGTGTTATAAATTTAAATTCATAAATGCTGTAAAATTAAAACAAAACAGTCATCAAAATATATGGAATTATTAAAATATAATCTAATAGAAAAGAAATATTTGGGGAAGGACCTAGTTCATACATGTTTCAATTTTTGAAATGAATACACATATTTAAAATTTTATAATGCTACAATAAGTATTAAACAAGTAGTCATTCATGCTGAATTGAGCATTCTTTTCCTCATTCACAGTATGGATACCTAATCTGATTGAACATCAAAATTACACTCACACTCATTCATACACATCTTAGGGATCAATGCCACACGGTGCTAAGCCTTAGCTGGCTGATAACTTTTGAAGCATGTAGTGCACACCCATTGTTAATCCAGCTTTTGACATTCTGTTTAGTTGTCACCATGCACTTAAGTTCTTATCAGCAATATAGAAAACCAGCACTGAAGCCATGAAAAAAGAAAGAGTCGGTTAGAAATCTTGGGGCTTGATCTGATTACAATCACTAAAAAACACCACATCCATGCTACTGACCCTGTTTAGCTGCTGCTGTAACTGTTCCCTCATGGACTCGGGGCAATTATCAAGCTGAGTCTTCTGCTCGGAGTAAAGCTCCTGAAGCTTTTCTAGTTTTTCCCTCTCAGCATCAAGCTTTATTTTTTCCTGGAGTTTGAGCCAGAAAAATAAAGAACAGAATTACCTTCAAACCCAAGCAGTAGTTAGTGATTCTGAAGAGCAAAGGGTGGAAAGGGGGGACTGAAGGGATGGGCTCAATGCTTCACAGGAATGCTTCACATGCTGGAAGGCTGTAGCTAATTTGCATGTTCAATTGCATGTAAGCACAATATTCTGAATATAATTTTAACAAACTAGGCATATCCACAAGGCAGTTTAGTCAACCTGTTATAGATATTTGTCAGCATTTATTCTGCTATTGTTTAAAATCAGGTATGGAAAAATGAGGTTTATTTCATATAATAAAAAATCGTAGATATATTCAGAAGACATGGACCTTTATCGTAACCACAGAGAAACTCTCTTGTAGCTTAGAATGTATGGTAATTCTAAGCTACATGGAATATAATATTACATAAATAAAGGTGCCATAAATCATACTATATAATATATGATGTAATGCTGTCTTCTGCAACCTAGCTCTCTGTAGATTTGGTGGCGTCATATCTCCCAGCATGGTCAACAGAAATTCTGGAAGTCATAATCCCAACACAAGTGAAGAACCTTATGTTGGGAGAGATTTATAAACTGGCTTGTTTTCTTAGTTCCATATTCTTCAAACTTATCTTTACAATAATGAAGTTTAAAACGTTACTGTACAATGTAACGTAATTTTGCCATTTGTCAGCTAAAAAAAAAAAAAGACTTCTCTGCCAACAAAACCTAACTCAGATTTGAGAACATATAAGTTCCCAGAATAAACTCCATTAATTAATTTCAATTTTCTGAACATGTTCCTAAACCAATTATATACTTAATTAGTAGAAACTAATAAAGTCACAGTTAGATTTGCAATTAAACTCCTGGAACCAGGTTTCTCATAATTTTATTTCTGTTTTTTTTTTTTTTTTTTT